CCACCGCGAGAGACGATACATCTGTCACTTCACATGCTTCAAGAGGGCTTACACAGACCAACTCCTGTCCCTACTCCTCATGCAGCCAGCCAAGCTTAAACGAACCAAAACCACCGAGGACGAAGATTACTATGCATGCTGCCAAGTGTAATTATGAATGTGAATGCAACTGGATTATTTATGATACTCAAAAAGCAAAGGGCTAATTCTCATGGTGATCAGTAGCTAATGTTATAGGGAATAGGGTATGTTCATACCTCAACTTAAATGCACAGGTTTTCATTGTCTGTGGATCCAGTGACTTTTATGAGTTTATGTTTGATTTCCTGTTAGTAATGTATTACAGAATTTAATGTATGGTTAATTTTATTTAATTAAAAAGAGTGATGCAGGAAGGAGTCCTAAAAACGGGAAACAACTTAGTCAGTGGGTTATGCTTAAATGCCTGAAATAAGGTTTGTGGTTAACACAAGATGTATTCGTGTTTTGTTCTATGACAATTTATTCTATGCTATGATTTTTAAGCTTTTACATGTCTTGATAAAAGCGGTTGCTAACAAGTGGCTAAATGGGACAGCAGAGGTTGTTGGGGATATTAAACGTCATCTACTCACTATCAGTTTTTACTGCCTTGTTGTGTATGTACTTATGGTCTTGCAAACAACTCTAACTCAAACATTCCAACTTAAATAAATGCTGAAAGAGTTTCCAGAAGCTTATTGTTGGTGTAGTTCTTTTATGGCCTAAGTTAAGATTTTTACTTATGGTAATTGCATTTAAGCTTCCAAATTCATAAAAATTGTGTTCATTTGTGAAGATTATTTTGATGAACATAACATGTAAAGGCCCGTTCACACCAAGAATGACAACTATAAATTTAACTATATTAGCGCCAACACCAGCAGATGATATTGTCTGTTTATTCTAAGTGCATGCTCGTTTGCCGCTTTAAAGGAATAGTTCACCCAAAAATGAAAATTGTCATTAATTACTCACCCTGATGTCATTCCAAACCCGTAAGACCTTCGTTCATCTTCGGAACATAAATTAAGATATTTTTGATGAAATCCGAGAGCTTTTTGACCCTCTATAGACAGCAAGGGTCCTAACACGTTCAAGGCCCAGAAAGGTACCAAGAACATCGACAAAATAGTCCATGTGACATCAGTGGTTCAACCGTAATTTTATAAAGCTACGAGAATACTTTTTGTGTGCAAAAAAAAGGACTTTATTCAACAATTCCAAAGGTGTTACGGGTTTGGAACGACATGAGGGTGAGTAATTATTGACAGAACTTTCATTGTTTGGTGAACTATCCCTTTAAATTGTCGAACTTGTTACAGCAGGACTGATTCTGATTGGGTGTCAATGTTTTTTTTTTTTTTCATGAAGACTGAAAAAATTGTTCTGAAAAGTGATTCCAACAATATTGTTTCTCTGTTCATTTATCATTATAGCTGTGGTGTGGATTTTTAGAACTATATCTTTATCGTTATCTTTATAGTTATTGTCCTTGGTGTGAACATACCTTAAGAATCATGAAGTTTTATTGGTCATAGAGCTTATTTTCTGCAATAATCCAAAAACTGGATTACTGGCTTTTTGTCAAGTGTGATGCTAATTTACAGGTTGGCCTACAAAAATGTGACCCTGGACCACAAAACCAGTCTTAAGTCGCTGGGGTATATTTGTAGCAATAGCCAAAAATACATTATATGGGTCAAAATGATAGATTTTTCTTTTATGCCAAAAATCATTAGGATATTAAGTAAAGATCATGTTCCATGAAGATATTTAGTAAATTTCCTACTGTAAATATATCAAAACTTAATTTTTGATTAGTAATATGCATTGCTAAGAACTTCATTTGGACAACTTTAAAGGTGATTTTCTCAATATTTTGATTTTTTTGCACCCTCAGATTCCAGATTTTCAAATAGTTGTATCTCGGCCAAATATTGTCCTATCCTAACAAACCATACATCAATGGAAAGCTTATTTATCTCAATTTCGAAAATTTTACACATTACACTTATGGTTTTGTGGTCCAGGGTCACAAATATGGTTTCCCTGCAGCACTCTCTATATAGGACTACTTTTTAATGGCTGTCAATGGTAAAAGACAGTGTAGTTACAGCATCTACCAACAGGGGCGAACTGGGTCATGCTAACAAGCAAAACCTCAACCATTTGGTTTATGCTAATAAGACGGCCTACCTTTGTGTTTGTCCAGGAGCTCTGTTGTATGTTCTATGACTTCATAATATTCCTCCAGCTCTAACATGCACTGGCAGTAGTTCAGTACAAGAGGAATGATAAGCCTGTCCAGATTAATGTAGTCTTCATCTCCAGGCATCTCCTACAGAGGAAGGAAAACAAACTCAGGTGCACTCATCGATGTCTGAATGTCTGAATGTTTCTTATTAGTTTCTTCACAGCCCCCTAATAACCTCCATGTCATTTTGTTTTTCCTTTACCCTGGATTGGACTGTTCGCAGCAGAACCACAGCCTCCTGGTACTTTTCTGCAGCTTCACGGAACCGACCCTGCTTGACCAGAGCGTTGCCCAAAAGATGTAGCGAGGGCACGACCTTTAGCTTCTCATCCTTCTCCATCATCCAAGACTCCCGCTGGTAAGAGAACGGGTCGCCCACCTGAGGTAGACAGAGAATTGGAGCGTGCTTGTCTCACTTGGTTGAGGATTGAAAACATGGTCTGAGAATTGGGAACAACATTTCTTTCCTGGCGTGTAGCACTTGATTGTGTAACATTCTTTTACGCTCTGTTTGGGTTGCAGCGAGAAATCTGTTGGAGGTGGAGGAGTCGAACTAGAATGAGTGTATGAGAGTGTTGTTGTGCAAGGGTGCGTGCATGTATTTGCTTGTTTTCTTGCACTGTGTGAATACACCTGACCCACCGAGATTAGTTCCACGATGAAGATTAAAGGCTGAGGTGTCCTCATTAGCTCATCAAGCTCTGGAAAGCCTGTCGAATGGTAGTGAAACAAGTTTCCCATGCCACACGTGTGTTTTTGGCCCTCTAGAGGGTCCTTTCCCTGAGCAGCCAGTCGTATCCCTTTTGACACCATGGGATAAAGACCTGTGTGCTGCATAAAAAAATAAAAATAAAATAACATCACATGCCAGTGTTTCCTACAGAATTACCTAAGATTTATTTGCTTGTTTTTGCTTGTAGACTCTAGGAGAACCCGAAATATATTTTCTTTTTGCATTTATTTTGTGGTACATATTGTTTTAACGGCACCACATTCAATATATGTGGCAAACTCACAATTTCTTGATTTCTTTTGCCGTGGTGCTTGATGCAGTAGCGGGAAGCAACTTATTTCTACATCAATCATCTAACCTGAATCTTTAGTCTCATTTGACTTGCAGAATGGATTATTAATTTCCTTGTATTTTGTTTTGTATTTGAGTATTTAGAGAAAACAGCAAATGTGAATGTTTACAGAAAATGTAGGAAGCAACCAAAGGTGAATAATACATCAGACACATTCTCCTCCATTCTTATGTGAGGATTAATTAAGATCCAATTGAAGCGGATGTGATTATACCTATAGAAAGGGAAAAACAGTGGGAGGCACAACAAGAGGTTTAGTTTGATTTCAAAGACTTACAATAGCATCACACCAAAACTCCGCCACCTCTCCAATCCTCATGGAGGTTAACAGCACCGCCCACACCTCCATTTTGAACATCTTCCCCACGAAAATCTCTGTGGGATGCTTATTTTTGCGACTGTCGCCAATCACTGTTCTTTCAAAGTTGTCCAACAGAGTCTGAAAGTGGAACACCAGCTTTGTGGGTAGGAAGGCAGAGGAAAAAAAAGAGAATAAGAACAGGATTAAGAAAGAGCTGAGATATTTGTCCTGCTTAGTACACCATGCACATCTTGTAATTTGCTACTCTGTATGGGTTTATATGTGTTTGGGAGAGAAATGCAGGGTTTTTAAGTCAGAATGTATTTCTCCTCATGCCATCCTAATAGCTTCATTGTCCAATTTTACCTTCATTATAAGACATTTAAATGTATGTTTTTTTTAAGCATGCTGAAACAGACACCTTGATGGAATAGAACACAGAGTGAATACAGAGCACAGCTGGTAAATGGAGAGATGAATGTTGGCATTGTCGTGGAAAATGTTTGTCATCCTCTCCAGGCTGAGGGCCATATGGCTGGACAAGTAGGGGGGGAAAAAGTCACCTGGCACAGATACGCCGCTGTCCAAAACGATAGGATGCCAAACTTCTGTGCAATTATATGCACCAAACCTTTTTATCATCAGTAGAATCAAACTACAAATGGTTAGACAAGAACCCATCCAAACAAACGTCCACTCAAAAGCGCTATCCAGGACCATATATACACCTTACCTTGGTTCCCTTCGGAAAATGCGGCAATGGTCCTTGACCTCCATGCAAAATATTATTTTTTACTCCAGGATGGCCAAGCAAATACGCCTCCTGCATTTTAAACTCTTTAGAAGAGTATTTCTTTTTTAAAACAGTCCTGATGTCCTGTAGCCTGTGAGAGCTGGTCCTTGGCAGTGTTAATTAGCAAGCTGAGGAAGGGAGACAAATCACACCCTGCAGCCCAATGCTGCCTGACTGCTTTCTGACAGATGGCTGGATTACCAGGTTGAGGATAGCCACTTTAATCTGCTTTGGCTAATCCTTCAACCCCCTGAATCTTCAATATAATCCCCTGTAAGAAGTGAAGGGATGGGTGACCAGAGAGCGGAACTCAAGAGTATGGAGACAGTCGAGATCATTCTGGAAGGCAATAGAGTTCAGTAATCCCAGAAAGAGTTTGCTAGTATAATTCAGTGGGATCTGCAGACAGAATCATCTAGAAGTCTCTAGTATGATTTTCCAGTTTGTTGACCACCATAATGGGAGTAGCTTCCAAATTTGCAGACTTACTGAGCAGAAGAAATATGCTAACAAAACCATATATGATTTTATTTAAAAAACTGCCGTTAACTAAAGGTTTATAGACACAAATTCACAAAAAGTACAAATACACAATCTTGCATGAGATGAAACTTGTGTGATGAGCACAAGTATGTTGACACTTTTTTTGTTCAAATTTAGCTAATACATGCAGTAAAGTCGGTAATGTGTTCAGCAGTCGCCTCTGCAGTATTGCAGTATCTTGGTAATCGTGGGCATCACTTCTCGATCAGGGAGTCCAGCTGCTCTTGAAGGGAGGCCAGCTGTTGAAACAGAATAGCAGTGATGGATGGCTAGCAGTAGGGGTATAATTGAAGGCTAAGTGCAATATGTTCAACAACACCTCCAACGTTGTTACTTTTTTCCATCAAGCCATTTGTCAGTTTAGGCGTAAACAAACACTGACAGCAGAAACTGACATCGGCCAAGGGTTATGGTGAATCAGTAAAGCATGTATGTGTGTCTAGTTCTTTTACTCACCAATATTATATACAGAAATCTACTCTCACCAAGAGCAATGGGAATATGTGGAATTAAGTCATGGATTTGACATCTTACATGCATTAGGGGAATTAATAATCATTAGATTCCAATTAAAAAGCTCTCAATTCTATTTGATTTGATTACAATTCATCTGGGCATATTTTTACATTATAATATAGATTTTATCATACATATAAAATAGATCACTCTCAGCTATTGCTTTAAATTAAACTGGGAATAGATGCGTATATATGATAATCATGCCTTTTTTAAATAATTAATTAAAGGACAGACTCAAAAGAGTCATTTGTTTGTGAATTTGACTATGCTAGCTGTGCTGCATGTTTCTGATTCCCCAAAAAGAACTAGTTCATATGAATCATTTGTTCAGGAATCTGACTACACTGGTTGCACTGTATGTTTTTACTAAAAGGTCCAATTTATAAGAGTTATTTGTTTGTGAATCTAAATACACTGGTCAAAATGGCATGGAGTAAAAGGTCTTGGGAATTTAAAGAATGAATATTGAGATTTTTCAAATCATGATTAATTGGAAAAATATTTTTACCCAGTCCGAATGTATGCAGATTTTTGGGTTTGTATGCACTCACCTGTTCCATCTCTTGCTCTTCTTGATGAATCATACCATTCAAAAGGCCCAGGAAACGATCCTGTAATATGCAAAGAAGAGAGACAGAGAGAAAGAGACTTTATCTAGCTGACAGTAAGCTGTTTTGATGCTGGCCGTTTGTGAATGTCTTAACTGCTCGTACACACATGTATTTGATTTGTGACCCTGTGAATGGACCTCAGACATGTATGACCTTTCCTTGTCCCCTGTGACTGCAATAACCGTGGACAAATTTAGCCAGCATAGTGCACACAGGCCAACCGAAGTGACACTGTTAAACCACACGTCCAACCCCATTCCACAGTGTCTAAATCCTCCCATTGGAGCAGCTGCCAGAGCAATGAATTTTATGCTTTCTGTGAGCTATGTAAAAGCAGCTAAAGGCAGAAATGTAATATTTATGCCTTAAAAAGACAGAAAAAAACTTGCCTTCTTAGGTTTATTCAAGGCCATTTAAAGGGCTGTACTGCACAAAAACAGTGTCACCAAGGCTGTGTGATTACATGATGTACCGTGCCAGAAAAAGTAGCATGCTACATATTTAGTGCAGGTAAATGAAACCCACCCTCAGGGCTTGATTTTCCACCTCCATTATCAATTTCTCCTGTTCCTTCTTGCGGTTACGTGTGTCCTGAAGCTTGGCCTTCAAATTGTTGATCTGCACCTGATACTCCATTACTGCAGATCAAATAAGAGATTGTGAGATTGTGACAAGTTTAGTCATAGACCCAGGATGTCAAATTGAGCTCTCTTTTACCTTCAAGAGCTAGTTAATCTGCAAATGCTCATGTAATCAAAGGTCCCAATTATCTGTGAATCCTTCACACTCTAACTGTGCAACCCTTCAGGCTGCATAAATACTGAACACCACCTCTTACGTTCTGCACTCTCAGAGACAGAGAATTCTAAATACCTATTTCCATTGAGGGCATACACACAAAGATATCAAGAAAATGCCTTGTGAATTGTGGATAATATATAAAAAAATGAATGACATGGAATTTGAACATGCAGTACTTGACTTACAATATAACATATATACCAGTTATAATAGATGTGGTATTATTTGTCAAGAGAATATGACTTTTTTTCAAATCCAATTAAGCGACCTACCTAGATAGCATTTTAGGTATTGTTGGCACATTTCGCATGCGTCTATAAAACAGAGCTAGCATTTACACATAGTTTTTGTCTTTTAAGGACAATACCACTTTAAATTGGATTGAATTGGCATCTTATTACAGTCTATTGGAATAGAATTTTAGTTGACTAGAAAATGCAATATTAACCTTTCATACGGAAACAACAACACTCTTGAAAAGACATCTAACTTAAAGGGATAGTTCACCCAAAAATTTAAATTCTGTCATTAATTACTCAACCTCATGTCGTTCCACAAACACAAATGAAGATATTTTTGATGAATTCCGAGAGCCTTCTGACCCTCCCATAGACAGCAAGGATCCTAACAAGATCAAGGTCCAGAAACGTAGTAAGGACATCGTTAAAATAATCCATGTGACATCAGTAGTTCAACCGCGATTTTACAAAGCTACGAGAATACTTTTTGTGTGCAAAGAAAACAACAATAACGACTTTATTCAACAATTCCTCTCCTCCGCATCACCCTGGTGCCATTTTGGAGAGTATCACATACGTAAACAACATATGCAACGTACTGTATGTACGCGGATACGTATCCGCGTACATACGGTGTTTGCGTAATACTCTCAAAATGGCGCCATGGTGACACGGAGGATCTTCTGTCGTTGAAGATAAACAAAGGTCTTACAGGTTTGGAATGACATGAGGGTGAGTAATTAATGACAGAATTTTCATTTTTGGGTGAACTATCCCTTTAAGAAGGTAACCCTATAGCTAAACCTTTTGCTTTGAAGAGTAGGCTATGTGAACAAAACACATGGTGGCACAGCTCTGAACAGCATGGCTCATTTTTTCCCGGTCAAGTGCCAATGTGACGTTGAAGGCACGCTGCCAGTTGAGAGACAGAGGGTTGCGGGATGATGCCAAGGTCAGGCATGTCTGTATGGGTAAAGACACCACCAGACAACCGGTACACCCATCTGACCTAAATACCGCAGCAGGCTCATCATTCAAATGCTAATCTAGGTTGGCTGTTGTTTGTCTGCCGGTCTGCCTGCCTGTGATAAATTGGGCTTGAGCTGCTGTCCTGATGACGCACTGTAACTGATCATACAACCCGTGCACCACCATCCTACCGATCTGACTGTTGCGGTCATTCTCGTCTCTGCTTCCGTCTGTCTCGTTCAGTTTCTCGTGGAGCTGCCTGACCATGTAGTCTTCAGTGTCCATGATGTTAAGGTCGTCATCCTCGTGTCGGTCACCCTCCTCATCCTCATCCTCGCTGCTGCTACTGATGTCGTTGAAGATCTCGCGTAGCTCGTCATGTTGGACTAAATTAGAAGAAAACTTTACACAGGGAAAGATATAGCTATAAAAGGCAGTCAGACTTGTGAGATCATTCACCTGACGAGCCGTGACCCTTGTGTCCCGAGGTTCCAGGTGAAGACTCCAAGTTGGAGAGAGATAAGTTGTTGTCAGGTTCTTTGGCCTCATCCTCAGCAATCACCTCCCATCCTGACCACAGGGTCAAGGTTCATACATCAATAATCCCTTTTCATCCTCTGAGTTTTGGCACTAGGCCATTTTGCTGTTTGTTATATCACTGTGCTGCTGAGCTACACAAATTTATACGCGACTCGTGCCACTTTTTCCTGTAATGCTGAGCTTAACCGACTCTATTTCTTGCAAAGTTGCTCCATTTCATTTGTGAGCAAGTCTGCCACCTGGTGGCAAGGCTGAGTATGACAGAAATGCTCAATTCTACATTAGTAATGACATTTGCATCTAGATTTCTTTTGGCACTGGGATTGCGGCAACATGACAGGGGAAAACAAAAGCAAGAAATAAAGGATACGAACACTGACGGCTTCGGCGTCTGTGCTCAAGAGCCTCTTCACCTCCTTTTCCACATCAGGAGACTCGATGTACTGCAGGATAAATCAGGTTAGAATTCAGCCCCAAGGAACACGTTCTCAAAAACTGCATGCACGCATTCAGACGCACACATAGTACTAACAGTAGAGGCTGGCTGCACGCCAGAGAACACATTAGTCAATAGTCAATAGCTAGCTGCAACGTAGCTGAGATTTATTCAAGAGTCAGAGAGAAAAACCTGCCACTAACTCGGCTGCAGTCACTTCAATCAAAGGAAGAGCCAGATTGCTTTCCTGCATACCTTGGTGATAAATGAAGATGGAATGCTTTATTTATATGTAAATCGTAGCTTTTAGCATTAACTAATTTTCCTGCAAGAGTAAACATTTTTTCCCCCAACTAGGGATGATAAAGGATTGTAGAATCATCCGAAAAATCCAAGGAAAAACAACAACAGAGTGCTTGAAGAAAACCAAATGAGGTTACCTTCTTCTTTGCTGTCTTCCTGAACCGCCTCTTCCTTGTGTTCAGAGGAAGCGTAACTGGAAGGAGACAGATGTAATTGGATATAAAATGGGTTTAATCATTCTAGCACTGATAGGCTGTCTCTCCAAACCAATTACGGGGAAATTTCAGTATAGGAGTGGGAGATACTTACTGCCATGGTTCCAAACAAATTTCTTGTCTTTGTCCTTGTCTTTCTTTTTGCTTGTGGGGTCTGTAGTGCCTGTGGGCTCCTCTAGAGGGGGGTACAGGTCTCCATCCAGTGTGCATACCAGCATCTTAAACAGGAAGGCAGCGGAATTAACAGTGTTATGGCCTTGTAGATGTGCTGAAGCTCATTAAATGACTTGTCTCTGTTACCCAAGACTGCAAACGGTAAATTTAATTTAAGACTCTCTAAGAAACTTCTATCAACAGCTTCTATTAAAGTCTTACCTGACAGATATCAGCAGTCTTATAGAAGGTCTTTTTGTCAACCGTTTTTAATGACTCCAGGATGTGGTATTATTTGTCAAGAGAATATGACTTTTTTTCAAATCCAATTAAGCGACCTACCTAGATAGCATTTTAGGTATTGTTGGCACATTTCGCATGCGTCTATAAAACAGAGCTAACATTTACACATAGTTTTTGTCTTTTAAGGACAATACCACTTTAAATTGGTAATGCAGGGTAAATCCACTAATTTACATGCTAAAGGGACACGATCCACACGTACAATCAATCCCATGGCGACCATCGGCTAGGAATATGGTAACAAATTCCATGAGCAATATTTTTACACAAGAAATTGACAACATTCAGAGGCTTTTTAAAATGTAATGTGCTGACGTAAATGGAAAGTACTTCTTTGTTCAATGTAGTTCATCTGAATTTCTCACTTGCACAGTACTTACCATGTAACTCTATAGTAAGTCTGTCTTTCATGTTCATGCTGCTAGACTGGACGATCCGTCTGACTGTGGAGGCATACTCCTAAAAAACAATCCAGAAATAATTTTAATATGCTGATTCGGTGCTCAAGAAACATTTCTTCTTATTATAAATATTGAAAATAGTTGAGCTGCTTAATATTTTGTATGGAAACTTTAAATCAATGTATTGTATCCTTGCAGAATAAAGGTTTCAATTTCTTTAAAAAAATAATTAAATAAATAATCTTACTGACCCCAAACATTTAAAGAGTAGTGTATTTACCAAGCGGCAACCTCCCGCTCTCTCTCTTGAAGCCGACACGGAAGTGACTTAAACTGCAATTCATCAACTGGCCGCTAGACGCTGGCTGCAAAAGGGAGTCAATCCCATAGACTCCCCATGTTA